ACTTATGTTTTCAATGATGATCCTGAATCATCCAGAAAAGCTTATGTGTGCATTTACATAGAGAATATATGTTGAGCTATATAAGAAAGCAGAGAATAGCATAAGAGATTTTAGAAAAATTTCTATACAAAAAGATGTTGCTAAGGACATCAAGAGCTACACTACTAAGCATATTCCCCTTTCACTTTGGCTCAAGGTCAAATTTGCAGCTCAAATGCGGAAACTAGAGGGCCTTATGGTTTGAATATGTATTCTATTTTTCTCTCCTAGTTTTGACATTCTATTTTAATTTGTGCTTTTCCTGGTTCTTATTTTTTAATTTATTATTTATATTCTTCTGTTTTATTGTTTTTCTTGTAAGCCACCTCAAAATTTTATGGAACAAGACAGAAATATAAATAATTCAATACATACAACTTGTATATAGCTCAATGCTTTGCAAAAGTAGGCATTCAAAACAATGTATTTTCTACATGGAAAAAATTGATAATACTAAATAAATGGGAGTATTTCTGAAATATTATTATCTTTAGTATATTTTCCATCTTCTAACTCTAATCTTCATTCTCTTTCCCATCTTTTAATTTCCATTATAATTGGGTACAATGGGAAGGGAAATAAAGCTTTGTAAGTTAGTCAAAAAAGTAATGACCATATAACAGTTAATTTCAAGGATGAAGGATCAATAAAAATACCTTGGAAAACAGTTCCAAGCACTGTCCTGTTCTCCCTTTTTCCTTCTTTTTATGAAGCAACAATTGTCTGGAGGAATCTAAGTCAAGTCTGTACCATTTGTGCTTCTCTATACAACCAGAGAAAAGGGCAACAAAATCAAAATTTGCCCCATGGCTCCAAAGTCCTTATTATTGTGAGGCTTCACAGTGTTATCATATTTTTCATTCTTCCTGATCTTCTAAATAAGATGGTTTAAGTTGGCTTAGAAAGGCCTTGATTTCCCTAGACAGAAGTCAAACAACTTGAAAATTGGCCTTCAGGGTTCTCCTCTGCTGGGGAGCAGAGACATTCAGTCATATTTCCCTTGTTACAAAGCTAGTAAATCATCAGCAGCTACTGTGGAACTGCCAGACTTCACTTTTTGTCGGGGGTGGGGAGGAAGTTAGGGCTCAAATGTATGAATGGGGGAAAACAAAAATCATGTCCATAACAATATGTAATTACTAAGAAGTTTGCGTTTTATCTAAGGGAACTGTGGATCTAACCATTTCAAGCAGGCCAGTGAAATAATCAGATTTTCATTTTAAAAAGCTCACACAGGCTACATTTTATAGAATGGGTTAAAAATGGGTAAAAGTTGGAATAGAAAGACGGCTTAGTGGTTGGGATAGTAATTCAGGTAAAAACAAATGCAGTTGATGTAGGCTAGGTTAATGGCTGTGAAGAGAAACATTTACCAATTTTAGAGATGTCTGAGAGGTCAACCCAAGAGTACTCTTATAGTTTCTGGCTTGAGACATTGAGAGCTAGAGTTTATTGAGATTTGGGTCACATGCATAGGAGCTGTGTTACACTTCCAAAGGGAAATCTCTATGTTCTTTTTGGTTCACATTATGGTTGAGGTTCTTTCAGGGCATCTGCATGAAGATGTTGAATATATAGATGGATATTTAGTTCTGAGAAGCTAGACAGAACATAATTCATCACTTAATTTTCATAATGTCCATGCTTAAAAATACAGGTATCAACAATAGGGTTTTAAAATGTATTGTACAGTAAGTTGCTTATTTAAGCCTTAAAGTATATTAAAATGGCACTAAGAGACTTTACAGTATCGGTTAGTCTCAGTTTTCCTTCATGGTTCATCGTTTTGTAAGTGAAGGGAAACTGAGGCTAACAATTTAGTGGAGACAAAAGTTAAATTCACTCCTCCATGTTTCCCTGCTAAGGTACTACCAGAAGTACCTTGGTGTCCTAGAACCTCAGATTCATCATACGTCAAAAGAAGGTAGGCTATCCCTTCCAATTCTAGAGTCTATAAGTTGATGGCTAGATAGCTGTTGTTTCTATAGTAACAGACTTCAAAGACTCAACCCAACTCCACTCCTAGTTCGTAGCATCCAAAAGATAGTGGAAATAGAAGTGGAGCAAGGAAACCCAAGTTCTAGACCCAAATCTGACAGTAACTCAGTATTTGACCCTGGACAAGTCAATTATCCTTCTTGAGACCCATTTATAATTAGAGAAGAGAATTACTAACATACCTACTTTCTCTCGGGTTATGAAACTGATATTAGATAACTTATGTTGATACTTAGACATGTACATAGGAGTTAATTGCTTCCTCTTCTGTGTTCCCTTTGCACTCTGCACATGTCTCTATTATTGTACCTACCAGATTATCTCATAATTATCAGTTTACATATCCATCTGCATGGCTAAACTAAGAATCTCTCAAGGGTAGAAATTAGGTCAAATTCATCTTGGCATCTCTCAGTTTCTATAGCATCATTTGACACATAGCAGGGGCTCAAAAAATGTTTTCTGAATGTCAAAAAAGAAAGAAATGTTTGAAAACCACTCAACAACAACACAATCCTTAAGATGTTTGACAGTGAGACATCACCAAAAAACTCAGACCCTCAAAAGAAAGAAAATTCAGTGTTAAAAGCAGAAGGTCTCTACGCACCTTTCAACACTGGAGACTGTCTCTCAAAAAAAACTTTAGTTTTTAAGGACATTCCAGTTTACAAAACAAATTAACAGCTTCCTATTTAATTTTTACAAAAAAACTCTTTAAACTTGATATTATTATCCCCGCTTTACATAAAAGGAAACTGAGTTGCAGAGAAGTTAAGTCATTTGTCCAAGGATGCACAACGTCAGGAACTCATCAGCTACTGCCATGAGACTAGGCATGTTTAAATCATTCACTAAACCAAAATGACTGAGTAGAATGTGCAAGCAGACAGCTAGGTGCATTGGGGCATAAAAGATGATTCAGACCCAGCTCAAGGACTGTTTTGAGTCTAAACCATGGATGTAGATAATCACTGAGATTATCTCAAGAAAGAGATTGAGTTTGATAGGAGTTCCAAGGAGAGGTCATTAAAGGAGAACCTATGGGACAGTGTTCTTTCATCTGGGGATGGGCAAGGGTGAGACTGGGGGAAGGACATTCAGGCAAACGCAATAACATGAGCAAAATAGAGAGGATAGTAGTCACATTAACAGGAATAGAAGCAGCAGTGAGAAAGAGAGGGCAAAGGAAAGAGAGGCAATAAGATATAAATGGACATGTTGATACATTGAAGTTAAGGTTCTGGTGAACATCTCAGTGGAGTTATCCATCCAGCAGTTGGAAACACTGGTCTGAAATTGGTGTAGAAGCAGGAAATAGAAATACATGGTTGCAAGTCATCTGTATAGAGAGTAAGGAGGCCAAAGGAGCATGGAGAAGACAACGTCTAAAATGTGGGAGAAGGGAGAGGGACCAAAGAAAATATAGTCCAGGGGTAGAAACAGAACAATAGCAGATCAGCAGATCAGTAGGTCAGCAGCCCCTTCCTGGCTATCAACACTCAGAAGATGGGTTGAGTAAAAGAAGGTTTAGAAGGACATAAGGAGTTAAGGAAGATGAACACTAAGAAAAAGCCCATGAAATGTGGGAAGGAAGAAATCACCTATGATAGCTGAGGGAGAAGTTTTGGTCAAATTGGGGGGGGGGGCTATGAGAGGATAAAAGGCAGATTAATGGAACTGAGGGGTGAACTGGTCAAGAAGTGAGGGTAAATTTAAGAACTTTGATAGAAGCCATGAGAAAATACAAAATACTTTCTAGGATCTCTTGACTCCTCTGGTTGTCCTTGTAATTAAAGACAAATGGCTGCTCAGAGTGAAAGCGCCAGTCCTTTCTGTGGAGTAGAGCTGGATAATCAATTGCCTCACTGACTCGTGTGCTTGCCTCATTAGCACCACGCTCCAGACAAACAACATCATATAGAAGATTTGACTTTTAAAACTTAGAGTATTATTCGGACTTTCATAGCAACATGACTACATCAAAGCAAACAGAGTCACAAATAACTGCCTCCTGTAGAGGTTCTGCATGATTCTGAAAACGCTACCACTACACAAAACCTGCTCTGATTCCTTCTTCAATACCGTTCCCTTGGTACTGGGGCAGCTTATGAACCTCACAATAAGCTCCCAAATATTAGCTATTATTGCTGTCATCGCTATTCTTATTCCATGGCTACCCTGCCTACCTTATTCACTAGACTGCCTCTACATGGCTTTGGGCTCTTTTTCCATTCAAAGCTGCCTCAAAAAACAAAGATTTGCCACAACGGAGTGTATTCTGAAGGAAGCTCTCTCAACAGTTTCAAAAACCATTCTGAGTGATGGTAACAGAGTTTAGATGGAAAGAGAGGTCAGCCTGCATAGTGAATCCTGTGGAAAGGACATGTGCTTGTGGATGTAAGCTCACATCGTTACCTCTGCCATCATGTGTGTCTTCTACACAATCCATCGGCATCTGGACTGCCTGCCTTATACTGCAAGTTCCCAAATGCTGAGGTTCTTACTTTAAAAACCAATATCCTCAAATTTGAAAAGCAAACCACAAGGCAAACAGATTCTGCCAAATTCGGTGACAAGAATGTCAAACTTAAAGAGGCACATTCAGACTAATGTGTGGCCTTAGACAAGTTATTAACCCTCTCTGGGGGTCAGTTTCTTCATACATAAATGAGAGAGTTGGAATAAAGGGCCTCTAAGATGCCTTTCTTCTGGAATGCAGATCTGGGAGAAGTTCTAACAGTCTGGGGAGCAGCCTCAGCCCCATGAAGAAACGGGGCGCCCCCTGCTCCTGGAGGGTAAGGCAGGGTTTCCCAGCCTAAGTGAAAGCAGCCTCCTCCCCTCTGTGTGGGGCGTTGGCTTGTTTTGTTCTTTGCTGCCCACCAAGTGAGCTGTTGAAAAGACAGCTGTGGCCCCCTCTGCACCCCGTCAGCACTGGGCCCACGGGAGGGGGAAGGAGTCCTTACCCATCGTGTTGTTGGCTCGAGCACAGGCTGTGCGCTTCAGGATCTCGTGCACCTAAAACGGATGACAGCAGGGCTGTGAGGGCCTTGACCACATGCATCACCACGAGTGCGGGGCGGGCGGGGGACCAGGCGGCTGGACCCATTTCTAGGGATGGGGAAGCCAAGCATGTGCCAAGCTCATGGACTGCACGTCAAACCCACTCAAACTTGAGTGCTTTGAGGAAACAAAGGATCAACCCCCTCACACACACTCCCGGCTCCACTCCACCCTGAAAAAATTAAGAAAGGAAAGGGCTACAAATTGACTGCAGTTACAGGAGGTAAGAAAAACACACCAGGGAGCCCAGACACACAGCGCCCCCTGGAGGGCTAGGGAGAAGGCGCCTGAGTCGACCTGGGGCCGGTGTCTGCATCCCCTGGGGGAATCTCAGGGAAAACCAGGAGGGGGTCTTCTCCACCAGCCCTGAGCAGTGCACGCTGGGGAAAGCACAGAACAGGGAAGCAGATGGATCTGGTTCTAGGCCTGGCTTTAGCAGAGGAGTCCTGAACAGCTCCCTGAGGGTCCCTTGCCTCCTTTGTAGTGGAGCTATGTCACAGAGCTGCTTTGAGGAACCACGAAAGCACTTTATAAACTAGAAATGGGTCACCTACATGTTAGCCATTGGTATTATTATTTCTCTTTTTCTCCTGAGCCCTCATCTTGCCTCCCCAAGCACAGTGTGTCAGACACTTCCTCAAGACTCCATTTCTCAGGTCACATCCTGGCACACGGCAGGCTGCCTGCTCAATGACTACTGTCTGCCTAAATGGACCAACAAACCCCTGGACTATGGGGCTTGGAGGGAGGGGTGCTGAGAGTGCTCCCTACAGAGAAAACGGACACAGGTGGGCCAGCGTAAACCTCCTGGCCAACCAGCTCCTTTAGATGGGTCCCAAGCTTGTGCCAGGCTATAAAGAGATGCCCAGCAAGGAAATCTGCTCTGGAGCAAACAACTGGGCTGCTCAGATCCCCACAAAGATGGGGGCACAGGGAAGATGTTTATAGATGTGGGCGAGGTCCCCAAGGCAGAGGAGACCCCAAGACAAAACTCAAGGCTCTTTCTCCCCTTTTCACAGCATGGGGTGGACTGGCAAAAGGGTAGGAGGGAAAGGAAGAAGCTTCCAGAAGAGATGAATGGGAGATGTGTCACTCCTTCATCATTCACACTTCCATATTTGAGCCACAGACCTAGAGGAAGTGGTAAGTAAATAACTTCCAGCAGAATGGGACCCCAGAATGTTTAATTCACTTATAATACAGTACAGTAATTTAATAGCAATAATAATTAAAAACAGCATTAATATGGCATTGTATTATTTTACAAGCACTTGGCAATTACTGGGTAATCTCTACAATACCCTATAACTACCCCCATAGACATGAGACCCAAGCCAAAAGGAGATTTAATAGGCTTATAATAGCATCAACCCAAAAAATGAGAAGTTTATGCTGTTTTCCATAAAAAGATGAAACAACTCATATGCTTATTTTAATGCCTCCTAAAATATTAGGTTAAGAAAGCTGAGGTGTTTTCTTGACCATCCTGCAAGCAGAGTGGATGTGATATTGTCAGTGTGCCTTGGACGTTTTGTAGCTTCCTCTAATCACCCGTTTCTTATCCTTCTTATCACCCTATGGACTCCAAAGTCCTGCAAGTATATAATCTCTATTCCTCCTGTTAAAACTTAGCTTCTTCCTAAGGGCCAATGGAAACACACTGCCGTGTTTCCACGGTAGCATCAGTAAGTGTCCAGCATTCCTTGGGCTCCCCTTTCTCTCCTTTGTCCATAGGCTGAATGTTCTCCAGGTGGGTGGAAAATAAACTAATCAGTGAATAGAGACGCTACAGTTCTGATGGGGACCACAGGGGCACAGGCCATATACAGATTTTGATGGGAGTCAATCATCCCACAAATTCAAAAACTTGACTTCAAAAAGCAAAAAGATTATAGAAGAACAACTATGGTCATGAATTTTGGCTTTCTATTGAATGGTCCAGTAACTTTATTTTTGGACAGGCTGGCTAGCTCCAGAATTCCCTGCCATTGAAACGCACAGGACTCCTTTGGGGTTGAAGAAAGAAGCATGGTGTGGCCCAGCAATGAGTCCTCATTTGGACACTAACAATCTGCATGAATTTTTTTTTCAATTCATTGCTTCGCAGGGTCTCAATTTCCTCAACTATAAAGCAAGGAGGTCATCTAACTAGCTAAAAGTTCTCACAAGCTCTGAGTCCCTATTTTTGTGATTCCAAGAAGGGTCTAAATGGAGAGCTCTAAAGAGACGACACTCCTCTCAACACTAAATGAGGGCAGTTGTTTGCTATTTCTTTTGCTACTGGGATTAGAAAGCTCCTGGACACACCTCTCCGTTGCTAGGCAACTCCAAGGAAATGAGGATGAGAGGTAACAGGGAGGACAAGAGGGTGCCCTGGCAAACTGGGTCTTTCCCCACCCCCTCCTGGGCCCACCACATCAGGTTAAGCATCCGATTAACTTGTTTACTTACAATGCGGCTACGGGTGGCATTATCAAAGAAGGTGTCCTTATCCTGGATGCTGTACCTGGAGACACCAAGAAAGCAGAGTCAACCCATTTCAGTACCCTCGTTTTGAGATCACTGTCACCAAGGTCCAGAGCAAACTTTTAGAAAGCAACATAGCAAGATGTGTACGACACACACACTCACACACATTCATAATGTTTATACTCTTTTTGAACCAGAAATTCTGAAAACTTATCATAGAAATGTATCACAGGGAAAATATATTCAACAGAAGAAAAAGTTCCATAAGTAAAAATACTATCACAAAGTTATTCATAATAAAGTTATGGAGATAAGACGCAATTCCAAAAATCTATATGATAGTTTATCATGCAGCCATTGAAAATTACAATTATGAAAACTTTATAAATAGAACATGTTTAGACTATGATAGAGAAATGTTATACCATGATAAGTCTTAAAACTGAAAGTATGTAAAAAGGATTCCTGTGCATGGACCAAGACAGTAAAAACACAACAACAACAACAAAAGAGTATAGTTGGGATAATAATTCTTCGTTTTCCAAAATTTCATGTAATGTTGGCACTATGTTACACCAATTGGATACCAAACTCCTAATTATGCAAGGCCAGTGTCTGTTTTAAATTTCAAATATTGACCTTTCACTAAAAAAATACAAAACAAAACAAAATTTTAACAACACCTGTGCAGAGTTCGCTGTGCTTAGGGCACTGTGCTAAAGGGCACACAGATGCATGAAACATGCTCCCAGTCCCCGGCCTCCCACACACACCAGAGCCCAATCACTGGGGTATGTGTGTTTCCAAGTAACTGATGCAGAGTAGAATGTGATAATATGTAGACCATTGCTATAAAAACTCAGAGGATAGAGAGCCTATTTTGGTTAAAAAGAACAGGGGACTCTTCAAGAAAAAGGTGTTTAGGAACTAGACTCGAAGGATCACAGAAGCTGAATGGATGGAGATGTGTAGGAGTGGCGATTATATGCCAGCACCGGCATGAAAGAAAGCCCATGGAAGGGGAACCATGGAAGAAACACAGAACACAAAAAGAACAGCAAGCCAAGGGGTCAACATGCTAGTCCCAGTTCAGCCACTGAAGTCTATGTGACCTTGAACGGAACCTGGACCTTGGTTTCCTCTCTATAATAAAGGAATAGTTATATCTGGATGGCCACTTCACAAGGGGGAGTGTGATATTGTGATTTATCATAAATATGTATTTTTACCTTTGTCTACTGTTCTAGCTCACAGCTCCCAAAACCTTTGAAATTTCATGAGCGATAAGAGCAATGGGAGTATCTTTTGTTGAAATAGTTGGTCTCTTGTCCTCAGTTCCTGAAATCACTTCTGAGCCATAAAGGTGAAATGGGTGTCTTATGATTCATAACAAGCCCCTTTCCACCAAAACTGGGTTTATGTCCATGAGGTGACTTTTGGAAATCCCCTCAAGATTGGGGGGTGGGGAAAATGGTTGACAGGGGAACCAACCATGACTAGAAGGTTGGAATTTTCAGTCCTATCCCCTAATTCCGGGCTGGAGGTTCAATTAATCATCAATTATCAATGATTTAATCAACCATGCCTACATAATGAAGCCTCCATAAAAACACAAAAGGAGGGGTTTCAGAGAACTTCCAGGTTGGGGAACCTGAATTCTCCCACGTGCCACATATCAGGCCCCAACTCCACAAGGACAAAAGTTCCTTTGTTTGGGACCTTGCCCTCTGCATCTCTTCATCTGACTGTTGATTTGTATCCTGTAATATTCTTTGTAATAAACCAGTAATCTAGTGAGTAAACTGGTTCCCTGAGCTCTGTGAGTCTCTCTAGCAAATTAATTGGACCAAAAAGAGGGTCATGGGAGCCCTCTGATTTATAGCTAGTAGGTCAGAAGCACAGGTAACAACCTGGACTTGCAGTTGGCATCTGAAGTGGAGGGCAGTCTTGTGACATTGACCCCTCAATCTGGGAAATTTGACGCTATCTCCAGGTACTGTCAGAATTTAGTTGAATGATAGATCACTTAGCTGGTGTGGGAGAATTTCTTGGTGGTACAGGAAAACCCACACACACATTGGAATTGGTGACTAAAATTGGTATCAGAATCGTTAGGGGAGTAAACACTCAATGAAGGAATATATAAAGCATGATCAAAAAATACAGTGAATGTTTAAATAATAAAATGTATTACAGTAAAAAAAGCATTGCCATTAATCCCCCTCAAAATACTTCCCTTTGCTTTGAACACACTTATCCCACCATTCTTGCCACTTTCTGAAGAAGTTCTGACAGTCCTCTTTCGTGTCTTTAGTTACGTTGTCACAGCTGCCTCGACGTCCTGAATTGATTCAAAACGTTTACCTTTCATGGTCATTTTGACTTTGGGGATGAGCCAGAAGTCGCACCGTGCCAGATCTGCTGAATAAGCTGGATGAGAGCACACCGTAATGTTTTTATGTGACAGAAATTGCCTTATCAGAAGTGATGTGTGACACAGAGCCTTTCTACTGTGATCACAAAATACAGTGAATGCTACTGCTGAGTGCCATCCAGTGGAAAGGCAGGGATCTTCAATACAGGAAGCGGCGCGTCAAACCTTAATAACTGTGTATGACAACTTTCAACTTGTAACTTGTTCGGTGCAAGTAGGGTGTAAGCTACGGTTGAGAGAAGATATGTTTTAAAGTGTGCCATAAATCATCCTCCATTATGACAACGCTCCGTGTCACACATCGCTTCTGGTATATGGCAATTTCTGTCAAATAAAAACATTACGGTGTGTCCTCATCCAATTTATTCACTGGATCTGACACCATGTGACTTCTGGCTCTTCCCCAAAGTCAAAATAATTCAGGACATCGAGGCAGCCACGACAGCGCAACTAAAGACACCCACGAAAGAGGGCTTCCAGAACTGCTTCAGAAAGTGGCAAGAATGATGGGATAAGTGTGTTTGAAGTGAGGGGGAGTATTTTTGAGGGGGATCAATGGCAATGTGTCTTTTACTGTAATAAATTTTTTTATTTAAACATTCACCATATTGTTTGATCATACCTCCAATGCAAAAGCAACAGCATATACATGTGTATAGAATTATCTAACATAGCAAAAATGGGTAGGAGATAATATCCAGTGAACAGCAGAAACACAGCTCCATGAATGCCATCTCCTCAAAAGAGAGAGATCCTTATATCTTTTCTGCCTTTCCATGCTCCTTCTTTTTCCTCTCTTATTTGATTCTCTTATCACTCCTGATAGTCTTTTATTTTCTCACTAGCTCCTAAAACAGAATAAATGCTTGGCTGCTGCACCTCCCACTTCCCAACCATGACTCCCCTACCCAAAGGTTTACCAAATGGCCATCCCTGTGAAGAGCCTTTACTCCCCCTTCCAGGGTGGGGTGTAGAAGGGAGTCTCCTCCAAGTCGACAAGTGCATGAGTAGGCAGTTGAGAATACAAAAATCCAGAAGCTTTATCCTCCTTCTCTCTGGTTTATCACAGTATATTGAAACCCTATTAGACTGAAACTGGGCAGAATGGTTTCCCCACAGAAGGTAAACAGGTATCTGAGCCCCAGTGTTTATGGTTATCTGCTCCCTGATTCTCCATGCATCATGCAAAATGAATGAAATCGCAGATTTCCCCATAAGCTACTGCGTGATATTCAGTAGTTATTTGTGATCATCTCACTTAAGGAAGAAGACATAGGGAATAGTTCACCATGAGTACATGCTTCCTCCCCGCCCTCCTAGGCATGGGACACTCACTTTGTGAGCTGAGTGGTATTTGGTTTTCCTTCCCATCCTCCCTCATGTCCGTACCCTCACAGCTCCAATACTCACAGGTACATTTTCTCCCTGGAGAATGGGTAGGAGAGGTTTTTCATCCTGTTGTCACTGTGCTCTGGAACCCTGGGCTTCAGGGGCGAGCTCAGCTTCTGCAGAATCTCGTTGAACTTCTTCGCAATGCAGCCTTCTGATCTGATCTCGTACATCTATGAAAGGCAAAGCCACAGATCTGAAAGGAGGCCACACCCAACACTCAGAGAAGAGTGACTTCACAACCAAAGCTGCACTGGGTCCAGGTCCCCTGGAGGGGACCACTCTGGGGAGAGGAGGGGACTGGGAGTAACAAGAAGTAGGGTCCTTCCCTTTCCCCATTGCTTTCACAAGGACATGAGCTCTGGACTGAGGAGTCCAAACTTTCTAGATGATTTTGTTATATCATCTTAAGGCAAGCAGAAGACCTACTATGTGACAGTCACCATACTAAGCGCTTTACACACATTAGCTCCAACGCTCACAGCAACTCAGCTAGATAGACAATATTATTCTCATGTTATAATGAGAAAATTAAGGCTTAGAAAGGTGAGATGAGCCAGCAAAGGTTACACAGATAGCAACTGGGTGACAGCTTTGGTTTAACTCATGTTAACCTAATCCAAAGTCTATACTCCACAACTACACCATGCCCCCATGTGATCCTATAGCATCACTTTTTGTGTGTGTTTCTCTTAGGAACTATCTTATAAATGAGTCTGCTTTCAAAATATTAAACATCTAATGAGTATCTGCCTTGAGTAAGACATAGAGCTAGTACGAAGATAAGCAGTGATATTTATAGTACATAGAGCTTTATATAAGCACAGAGTGCTTTCACATACATCATAGTTTTGGATCTTTCTAACTCACAGATGTAGTCATTGAGACACAGAGGTTGTACGTCTCATAGCAAAGCTGTCACTTATTAATGATGGCCACTATTTTTTTTACACACATTCTCCTTTCAAAAGGTAGCATCTCTGTTTCCACCCTCTTAAGTCTGGGTGGGCTCTGTGGCAGCTTGACCAGTGCAGTGGAAGTGACACCATGCCAGTTCCATCCTTAGAGAAGATGGGCAGCTTTTGCCTTGGTCCCTTGAAGCCCAGAGCCACCTGTAGGAAGTCTGTAGAGAGGTGCTGAAAGAACTCAGAAAGGGACAAGACTAGATTGAGACCAGCCTCCCAGCTACACTGCCTAGCATCAGGCATGTGAGGGACACTTTCTTGGACCCACCTGTCCAGCTCAACCCTAAGCTAAATACCACCAAGTGACCTCAGTCATAAGGTATGTGACCACATGGAGTGGAAGAATCACCCATCCTGGCTCTGCTCAAGTTCCTGACCCAAAACTCATAAGACAGAATAAAAAGACTGTGTTTTAAGTTACTAAGTTTGGGCTAATTTGTCATACTGCAATAGATAAGCAGAACAAGAGCCGTCAGCCAGATCTTCTGACTTAAAAGCCAGTTTTCTTCTCTATCATGACATCTTCAAGTTGCTTAAATGCAGACAGGCAGTAAAACATGTATGAAAAACTTCTAAGATACACAGAGATAAAAGCCACAGAAGACATACCAAGTGCTTTGAGGGTTCAAAGAAAGGAGACAGCACATCCAGTTGAGAAATCAGAAAAATGTTTCACAGAGGGAGTAGTGTTTCTGTTGGACTTTAGCAGAAAGAAAACCTTCTTTTGTTATCATTTTGTTCTTTAATAAAGTAATGATGTTAAGGGGAGGGAAAGAGCCTCCCCAACCTAACAACCGAGACATTGCCACAGTTTATTTCTTCTAACAAATTTTTCTATGCGTTTTGATTTAATTTCAGTTACAAAATTAAGACAATTCTAGTAAATAAACAAACCAAAACTATAAAAGTATATTAACTGAATGTTAAGTTTCCTTTTACTTCCAACCCAATCCCATCTTCCTCTCCAGAGGAAATTTCTATTAACAATTTGAGTATGTTTTATCCCAACTCTTTCTGAAACACATGTGTAACTGAATCCCTTCTGAAACTGTAATTGTATTTCACATATAGTTCTACAATTTGCTTTTTTCACACACTCACACACACACACACATATATGTATGTGTGTATATATATGTGTGTGTATATATATATGTATATATATATACATGTATATAGTATTTCTGTAGAGCTACCTTAATGGATGCATAATATTACACAGTAGACATGAATGCTAATTTGTTTATAGTCATTTCCCTAGTGATGGGCATTTATTTTATTTTCTACACAGGTTTTATCTTATTTGATCATACTTCTAGTAACATTACCTTATGAATACTTTTAATGAATAAGATATGAGCAGATATAGGCAAAGGCATTCCAGGCAAACAAAAAAGTAGAAAAGTTGGAGCTGGATTTAAGGAGGGTTAACTGGCCTGTTTTCTTTGGAACATAAGGTTCCGATGGGGACATAGTGTCAGTCATGGCAGAAAGACAAGGCGAGATTCTGCTGCACAAGGAAGGAAATAGGAAGTCAGCGAAGGGTTTGAACAATGACACAACCAGAACTGGGAATTGTGAAGGTAATCAAGTAGGGTTGTATAAGAAGAAGAATGAGCCAGCTTTCTGAAACAAGAGGGTTGTTTATTTCTAGGAGCACATACCATTTAGTAAGCATCTCCGATGTGCCTGGCTCTTGATGTACATTAGCACTAATCTAAAAGATATACCGCAAAGCCAACCATCTCAGTCAAGATCACACAGGTACTATATGATCCAGGTAATAAATGCTGGAGCACCTGAACCGCCTGGCAAAGTCTGTGTCCTTGGTTGCTTTATTCTCCTGCTTCATTGGCTACAACATGAACTATTGTAGGTAAAAAACAATGTGCCATTTACAATATTGCCTCTGCCAAATCTCTCCTTCACACGCTTAGTCACTGCAATGCAAAGAGTCCACCCCTCAGGTATTTTGGGGCCTGGAGGGATGGGGTCAGAAAGATGATATTGTCCCAGCACACGTCTCACAGGTCATTTACAGTAGGGTCTGACCAGGCATGGACCATGCACTGCGACTACAGTGTGTTAATCATACCCATAACCATGTGTCTTTAAATGTCATGTGCATGGAAACTAAAGTTTCAGAGCTGATGGACTCTGTCTTCCAGATGCCTTGGAATGAGAGGCTTGGACCAACCAAGGGTATTTCTCCATTTGTCCACTTTTCTCCATTTCCACTTCTGGTTTCCTAGTCTAATGAGCCTTCAACTACTGCAATAACTGGTCTTCCCACATCTTCTCTTACTTAGGGTTGCCAGATCTAACAAATAAAAATACAAGATGTCCAGTTAGTGTGAATTTCAGATAAACAATAAATATTTTTTTAGTATAAGTATGTCCCATGCAATATTTGGATGTACTTAAAAATTATACAAAAACAATAATTTTTTAGTATTAATATGTCCCATGCAATATTTGGGACATATTTATACTAAAAACGTATTCATTGTTTATCCAAAATTTGAATGTAACTAGGAATCTGGTATTTTATCTGGCAAACCTACTCTTGTCCATCTCTAATCTAGTCTCCATATCGGACCCACAGTGAAGTTTCTCAAGCAAAAGTTTGATCGTGTCACCTCCTTGGGAAAAAGCCTTCAACAATTATCCATTGCTCTTATGATAAAGACCAAAATTCTTAACACAGCCTATGGGACTCTCCGGAAGTCTCCACATTGTCCTGGCCCCACGGTCCCTTCTTCACTGCACCCAGCAGCTGGCCCTCTTGCGGTCTTTCCAGAAGCTGAGCACTCTACAAGCTTCCTCTTTCCCCTCCCCCTTCACCAGCTTCTGTTCATACCTGAGGTTTCACTCAATTGTCACTTGTAGGGGAAACCTTTCCCCAGCTTCCTGGCGGAGTCAAGTCCCACCTGCACAGTAGTCCATGGGCCCAAATTCCTCTCCTTGATAGCACTTGTCACAGTTGTAATTTTACATTTATTGGACTGATTAATTAATGTCCAGCTGCTCCACCACACCGTAATCTCCGTGAAGGACGGATACTGTCAAACTGTTCCCTATTTTTAAATGAGTGAATGAATAAATGAATGATAAATCTCAGGGGAACCAGCATTGATGGCAGCAGTTGTGGCCACTGGGGGAGACCAGGCTGGGGACAGAACAGCCATAAGATAACAGATCTTGGTAGAAATAAACCAGGCTGGAGAAAAAGCCAAAAGCCTGAAGCCTCTGGCTGGCTGAAAGGCTTCCCTGGTGCAAAGGCATTCAGGAGCCCAGCCCTGGCAGAGGCCAGGAATGTATTCAGTTGGTTCAGATTAATAACCCAGAAATTATCTAAGGGTCTTATTCTGGCAGAAGGTTAGCTGAGAACATCCAAGCAGTTCTTGACCCTCATCTTGGCAATGGATCTGGTAGAGCTCATTTAGAGAAACAGGCATACATTTTGACTGTTTCTTGATAGGGGACTGAGGGGGGAGGGGGAATGGGGCGCATCTTTAAATCACTGGGCGTAATATTGTCTGCTTCCAGGAAAAATGTAGGAGGTGTGGAAGCCCAGAGTCCCACCAGAAAGCTCCAGGTAACATCCGCTCCACAGCCCTGACCAAGACCCAGCACAAACCTGCCCAGGCTGAAACACCACAGCCGACTTACACTGGAAAGACATTTCCCAGACTCCAGGACTGTTGCAGGATGGAACCAGACACATACTCCCAATAAAACACAAGGGATTGCTTTGTGGCTCCATACCATGGACACTAGGCTTGGAGGACAAAGGACCTGCTTTCTACCTCCACACCTGTGCACATTGCATCTGTTCCCCTCCTTTTTCACCTGGATTACTCCTCCTCCTTTACCACTAGGCTCAAGTAGCAACTTCTCCAGGAAACCTTCCTTGGCCACTCACTTCCTGTCATGCTTCCTCAGTACACTGTGAACGAATACCAGTGTCATAAAATTTGTCATGTTCTTCTCTTATTCTTGGTTCATTTACCTGACTCCCCAACAGACTGTGGACTTCCATAGAGCAGGGACCACACCGTGTGTGCCTGGCACACACTAGGAACACAATAATGTCTGTTGAGTGAATGACCTGGGTCCTGGTCCTTGCTGACACAAACCAGCTGTGGGACTTTGGGCAAGTCACTCCCCCCTCAGGTCCTTCATCTCTTAAAGAAAGAACTGGGGAA